ACTGACACTGACACTGACACTGACACTGACACTGACACTGACACTGACACTGACACTGACACTGTGCTACATGCTGTAAACACGGTCTCACTGATATACACTGTCAACATGCTGTGTAAACACTTCTGTGCAGCATACAGACCGTGATACAGATATGCTGCTAAGCAATGTATACACAATACGAGCCGATAAGCTTTGGATATGCACTATAGAGACTTGCAGATCACTATGGTGATATTCTGTACAAATTAGTGTGGACAAACTCGGCATGGTTGCTTCTGTTGTACAGTACACTATACAAACACCTAAGTGCACTTAAACATCCTATTAACACTAATACTTTTTGTGTGGTGTAACAAATGTGATATAGACACACACTGGGGTGCTGGTGAAAGCTTAACCAAAAGAGACCTATGCTGACACCAGTGTACGTCGTGGACACTCAGTATGGAATCTGCATGTGCCGGACCACAGATTTCCAAACTCTGACTCCACAATTGTTACTGCAAGCGCCACTGTCTCTTGGAATGATTTCTCAAAAATGCCTTATCTTTTTTAGGGACAAACAGTCAGCTTTTTTTGCAGTAGCTTTAGCTTTTCATTGGCTATGAAAACTGTCCTGCTTGTGTTTGTTTCCCTGTGCTGGATTTGTATTGCGAAGAGTTCCTAGACTGTGAAAAGAGGCATATATATCAGTGAGTGATGTGTATCATAGGCTGCACATTGTGTGTGGTTTCAGACAACAGACCTGACTGCTGTTCACCTGGGGGTGAAGTTCAGCTGCCGGTTCACCCTGAGGGAGATTCAGGAGCGGTGGTATGCTCTGCTGTACGACCCTGTCATCTCCAAGTAAGAGCTGCTTGATAATCTTGGAAATACTGTTTTCCCTGGCCCTCTTCACTGCATAGCAGTTTGATCCATTTAGGGTGTTTACAAGCTGCCACAAATTTGTCTAGCTGGAATCACAGCTGTATTTACTCTGCCACCATCAGTTTGATGTACTGATGTGTATTACCTGGGTCAGGCTTAAACAGGAAGTTCAGTCACAACCCAGATCTCAGCTCTGGAAGCCAGAGACAGACCTTTATCTTCACACTTCCCACACTGATGCATTATTAATTGCATTGACATTTAGAGTCCTTTTCTTGCCTTACTGTTACTTGATAAGTATAATTGAAATGGATTGCTTCCTAATGTTGGTATTTTTAACATTTAATTGTATGCAGCATTTCTCCAGCCCTTTCCCTTAAGGATACACTTCAGTGATTTATTGTGCTCATATCTGTCCTTGTCTGTCTTGATTTGTCCCTGGCCTTTTTCTATCTCATTTGTCTTTTCTCTCCTTCATGCCTGTCCTGCTCCCTAGATCATTTCTTTCTAAATCTCTCCATCCCTCACTCTTCTTCCTTCGCCTGTGCCTTCCTTCTGTCTCTCGGCCTCTTCCCTACCCGTCATCCTGCCTCTGCCCTGTTGTCCTCTCTGCTCTTCAGTCTCACGGGTTCTCTCTCTCCAGATTGGCCTGGCAGGCCATGCGCCAGCTGCACCCCGAGGCCATCGCCGCCATCCAGAGCAAAGCACTGTTCAGCCGGGCGGAAGAGGCTCTGCTGGCCAAAATCCCCTCGGTGAGTGGGGTTGGGTTCACGTGGCTCAAATCCGTAAGTGACACCCGGCTTGAGTACAGCTTGACTTGTGGAGCGGTACTTCACCAGTCCAGGACTAATGATCTCCTGTGCTCGTGTTGCAGACCAGTCAGCCCAAGCTGGAGGTGTTTCAGGAGCTGCTGAGTAAACACCCTGGCGTCTTCTATCCCTCGCGCACAGCCAAGAGCCTGATGGTGCACTGGCAGCTGCTCAAGCAGTACTACCTGCTGGAGGATCAGACCGGTGAGTGGACGGCTTGGAAGACGCTTTAAGATTTCCAAGGTGGAATAGAACTGGCAGGTGGTTTCTGTGCACCGCAGGTGATGGTGTGACAGGATTCACAGATGTCCAGAAACTCTCTGAGACACTTGTCAAAGAGTACAAGACAGAGATAAGTGGCATCGTAAAAACTTCAAGCACTCGATTTTGCCAAAGGCCGAATGGTCTCAATGCACACATTGCTTTAACGCACTGTATAAACATCTTTTCGCTTTTCAAGATGTTAAGAGTGGTTTTAATTTGTTCTCTCACTGACCTCTTGTGTTAATTACCATCTAGCCCATTTGGTAGCTAGTAGTCAATTGATGCAAGTATCACATCTTGAAAGAAATCAGCTTAAATGATTCAAATAAATAGCTTGTTCCATACTCCCACAAATCCCTGATGACAGAAGTGCTACCTATCCTTAGTTTTAAATGTTCTTCTATGCAGTTGATAGAATGGCAACAAAGAATGGTTGCTCAATGCGTGTCTAAATTTTACGGATATTTACCTTAAGTTTTTATAGGAGGTGAAATCTGTTTGTTTTCTCTTAAAACGGTAATGTTGTTGTTACAGTTCAGCCCCTCCCAAAAGGAGATCAAGTGCTCAACTTCTCTGATGCGGAGCAGCTCGTCGATGATGCCAAACTGAAGTAAGATCACCAGAGTTGAGCAGGTTGATCTTGCACACAGTCTTGTGCACGGTGTTCAATGGAGCAAAACCCTTAATGAACCCATATTCGCTCTAGGATTGTGTCAAGCAGGTCAATTTTAATGCACAGTCCTTTTGCTTTGTCAACTTTATCCATTTTAATTTATACACATCAAGTCATTCGAAGTGTTTGCCAGAAGGGCTTTGTCATAGTTTTGGAAAAGGACTAATTTAAGAGTGAAGTTTTGTGTGCCTGGGTTATCTGGCAAAGTGCATGTACAGTGAGCCAGGTCTTGTTCTCTGCCTCATTATACCGGTCACACCTGGAGCAGGTGTTTAAAATGGGGTGTGACAGGATTGCTGCAGAAACATGCATGTGTAAGCTCTTAAACAAATACACACTGATTAACGTTTGTGTTATTTAAATGACGCACTTTAATAAAATTGTGTTTTTACATGCTGCAGTTCATGCCAGGGGAACCCAGGGCACTTTAAAGTGAACTCTGGTTCTAGTGTCTACTCCAGAACTGAGTGATACTCAGATTATACTCCCTTTCTTACAGAACCAGGTTGTTCTCTTTACAATCTAGTCTCAACTAGCAGGTGGGCCTATTGGGACTGATTTCCACAGTGCTGTGTGAACTGACCTTGACTCTCTTCCTCTTTCCTCAGGGAGAGCAGAGATGAGGTCTTGGAGCACGGTAAGCACAGCTTGCATAACCTCGCAACAGTGGGTTGAATTTTTTAATTTCTGTTATAGGGCCTGTCAGGGGAGCTTTTAATCCCATTTACAGCTGCCGATGCAGCTTTGTAATAATAATAACAACGGGATGAACGGCCCGGCTCCTGGTTGTGAAATCTGATCTGGGATGCTACAGCTTCTCCTTACAGAACTGCGTTGGAGGCATGCGTGCTTTGATCTGCCCTTGAGCCGCTGCTGTGTTTACGGAGCCTGACTCTCTTCTGTCTCCGGTTCCAGAGCTGATGATTGCCGACCGGCACCAGAAGAGGGAGATCCGGCAGCTGGAGCAGGAGCTGCCGCGCTGGCAGGTGCTGGTGGACAGTATCACCGGTGAGCCCCCTGCGCCACTCAGCGCCACCGCTGCCCTTTTTCTCACTCTAGCGGGCTAGGAGTACAAACCCCTGCTGCCCCGTAGCCTCTCCCAGCATGCAACACTGTGCAAAACTGCTGCTTGAGTGGAATGAAGATTCTTTTGCCTCTTGTGCACCTTTTCACCTTGTGCATGTCAGATTCAAAGGGTTTCTAAACGTGAAAATACACCTCTGTCACTGGAGCTCCTGCACGTCCGCTTGAAGCTCGAGTGGGATATCTTCTGCAACTCTGGTTTTAAGCCCTCAGGCAGCTCGCAATTTGAACGCAAAGCTTTCCTTGCTCCTGCAGCTGAGAGTTGGGCTCTGAGGGATAACCATCCCTGTCAGTGTAAACACTCCCGGCAGCATTGTTTGCTGTGCAGATTTCAATGAAAAGCCGTAGAATTTCCATTCGCCCCTGCTGTTCACACATGTGTGATTTCCTCAGCTGGAGAACCGCAGCTCTATCTTTCAATGCTTGCAGGGATGAACTCTCCAGACTTTGACAACCAGACGCTGGCAGCTCTGCGTGGGAGGATGGTACGCTACCTGATGAGGTCTCGAGAGGTAACTTATGCTCAGATTTAGGGTTGTATTGATCACTGCTGTATTTTTTTAGCAGCTCCATTGCTTTTCTAGAACTGAAGCCAACAATCCCTTATACTGAAAACTAATAGCTTACTCTGGTTAGCATGGTTTGTCTTATCAGATCATCATAATTCCCGTTTCAAAATTGATAGGCCTGTCCTGCAGATTTTATTTTTTTATAGCGTTAAAAATGAGGAACATGGAGACCCTGAACATTCCTGGTCAGCAAAAGTATGGTGTAGTCACACTGAGCAAAGGAGGGATGAAAAACCTGTCTCTCCCCCAAACCAGGGTGTAGACCCCTGCATCACTTACCTTCAGCACAACCTGTCTTTAATTCAAGGCCTGTGCTCTTCACTGTGTGTCCATGCGTTCTGCAGCCACAGCACTTCACAACGGGCTGTGCTAGAGATCCGCATGTGTGCTGTGGAAGCTTGTCAAGGCTGTGAGCCTACATGATCAGCACCTGGCAACTTCTCACTGCTCCTGTCTGCCCTTGCAGATCACCCTGGGCCGAGCCACCAAGGACAAGCAGATCGACGTGGACCTGTCCCTGGAGGGCCCAGCCTGGAAGATATCCCGGAAACAAGGTATGTCAGTCTTCTGCACGCCTGTTTCAATCCCTCTCCTTTTCTTACGAAAATAAAGCTTTTCACAACAGATAATCATGACAGGCAGGGGGAACTGACCAGGAGTTTCAGAGATGTTAACACGACTTTGTGACTACAGTCTGTTGTCCAGCGTTTGTGACGTTTGTGCAGTAACGGTAAAGATATATGCACCGTTAAGCACAGCACACTTCAAAGTTCTGAGTCCCAAAGTAAGTACAGTAAACGCTTGGTGTGTGAGGTGTGCTGTGATGTCAGCAGAGGAGATTCTTGTGCCCCCACTCCTTCCTGGGCTTCCAGCCCTGTCTGTCACCACATTGAGAAGTTCAGCTACAGCAGATGCAACACGTCAACTGGAACTGGCTTGTTACCCCTGGGTTAAACGTAACACCTGAATTTACTGTAAAAACATGGAAGCAGTGATTTGAGACCAGCACACAGCAGCGTGTCCCCCTACTTGCGTGAACATCTGCTGCCCTGCACGACAGAATAATGACATCAGACTAGGTCTACCAGGTGTGCTAGTTAATAAAATAAAAATAGGTTTACTGTACCCAAGAGTCTAAGAAAAAAAATACAAAAGACAAACAAGAGGAGGCCATTTGGCCTGTCTGTTTTGTTTGGTAGTAGCTAATTTATCCAAGGATTTCATCAGCTGTTGTTGAAAGAAAGTGGAGTATCAGCTTCAACAACATAGCTGGGCATCTTGGTCCACACTCCTATCACCCTTTTGGTAAAGATGCAGTTGTTATTCTCAGTTTTAAACACATAAGTAGTTTCCATATGCGTAATGTGGTTTATGATCCACTGCAGAGGAACAGAAAAAAAAGAAGAAAGAATACAACGTATACAATGAGAACTCAACGTTTCGGCCGTGGAGCCTTCTTCAGGTGTGTTCTTCACACCTGAAGGAGGCTCCACGGCCGAAACGTTGTGTTCTTTCTTCTTTTTTTCAGCATGAAATAAACCTATTAGTTGTTCCTTTGCAGCCTACGCATGCTGACACAGCTACCCACCTGAACTACTTATGATCCACTGTTTGTTTTGACTAAGTGCTCTGGGTTGACTTTGCCGGTGACTGATGAGTAAATTAGTTGTCCTATGCTGCAGAGGTTATAATATTCTGAAATAGTGATAAATTGTCACTTCTATGAGCTGCTTTATCTGTATGTGTGTAAAGCCATTGGTCTATTTTAACACTGAAACCACAAAATGCGGTGATATTAATAAGAAATATCGTCTGCTTAGCTTGACATTTGTTTTTCAGGTTTTTCTATGGTACAATATAGTTTATGGGAACTTTACAAGCTGATCTGAAGGTTTTACCTTCAGGCAAACAGCATGACACCCATCTGCTTTCCCTTCAAACAAATCAGTTCCTTGTTGTAAACCAGTTCTGTAGAGGATGTGTCAGAAATGTAAAAATCCCTGCTCTTCCAGCACAGTGGATAAAATGTTTTGAACCCGTAAACTAACAAACAGGAAGCTGGTTATTTCCTTTTAACATCTGCTTAAAAGTTGCATCAAAAATCAGTGTCACCTGATGATTGTGATGCTCAATTAACCGTTCTCCTGGGCTGTGTGCACATCCTGTCTGATAGGCACTGTAGGGCTCACAGCGTGTAAAACTGTGAAGGACTCTTAACAGGAGAGTCATTGCTTGGAGGGAAGCTACTGCTCTCCATGGCTGCCCTGCAAGCTGGCAGGTGCTTTAAGTAACTTCTCCTTTTCCCCAGAAACTAATGTCCGGAGGGGAATGCTGCACGATAAGATTTTCTGAATACCAGTTGGCATGTCAGGCAGCTCCCTTCCTTGCACACTGTAAATCCGAGCTTGTTATCTCGGCATTGATTTGTATCTTGTTTGGTCATCATAACAACAGCACCAGAAGGTAAGATTAGATTGTTTGTGAACCAGGTGGTACAGAGAACTTTGCCCTCTGACTGGGTTAATGCTCCAGGTCAGCGCTTACTTTGCAAAGAGCAGTTTTAGCCAGCCTAATCTGTGGTTCGCACAAAGTCATTCCTCTAGGCCCACGACATTTCCATCCACCTGGCTGAAGCATCTACTGATGAGAGATCAGGAAGAACTGATCTGAAGCTCTCCACAATGAGCAAGAACAGAGTCAACATGTGTGTGTGTGTATATATATATAAGCAAAATCTCTTAAAACCTACTTCATGTTACTGATTCTGTTTCTGAGTGCAAATAAATTGTGGGGATTCTAGGGCCCCGGTTTTCACTCGGGGTGCCTGACGATGGCAATGGCTATCCAGGAGGAGAGGAAACTAAGGGCCAGCTAGGCTGACAGCTTGCCTCTTCCCGCAGGGATCATTAAGCTGAAGAACAACGGGGACTTCTTCATCGCCAACGAGGGCCGCCGACCCATCTACATTGATGGCAGACCTGTCCTCTCGGGGAACAAGTGGAAGCTCAACAACAACTCCGTGGTGGAGGTAAGGACAGAGAGCTGGGGAGATACTGGCTTGGGGGACTCTGGCCCTCCGTAATTTGCGTGTGACTGATGCGCGGTGTCGCATAGCCATGTAGCAGCTGTGTGCTGCCTGAGCTGGATACCGTTGTGCTAATGGTCAACCTGGCTGATGTTGGCATGTTCTGGATGCAGACAAAGTGAGGGTTATGGGTGGGGAAAAGAGAGGGTCAGTGACTGAAGGCAAAGGAACAAATGGGGAAGGTAAAAGATCGATCTGCAAGGTCTGATTGAATTTGGAAATATTAACGACCAGTTTTTGACACAGTAGCTTGCAGATCATTAAAATGCTACGAACAGCCGCGTGAATTTGTTCTTTCCTCTTCCTGGCCAGGACAGTAATGGCAGCCTTGGGAAAACCTTTACCTTTTCTCTCTTCCTCTCAGATTGCAGGTCTGCGTTTCGTCTTCCTCATTAACCAGGAGCTGATCGCTCTTATTAAAGCAGAGGCAGCCAAGATGAACCAGCAGTGAGACTAACCTTGTGATGATGGACGAGGCTGTGTGCAGCTGCACTGGAGCACAAGAAAAGGTGGACCAGTGGACTTCGTTTATACCACTTTGTGCTTCTGCTTCCCAGTAATTGACCCCAGACACTAGAAAAATGACTCTTAAAGGACTCCTGGGAGTGTATGGGCAGCTCTAGCACCAGTGGAAAGAAGGCTTCATGTATTTACAGCCGTCTTATAAAACAGCCTACATCTCGGTATCCTAAAGCTTTTGTGTTCTGGTTTCCTTGAGTGTTAGTGGAGCAGAGCTCAACCTTTTGTTTTGTATGACACCCAGATTCATTTTTTTTAATGGTTTTATTTGTAGAGGAAGGCGGACTAAACTCCTTTGAAATACAAAAATTTCTGTGAAGCTTGTCTTTTGCTGTAAAAGATATTTCATAAGAGCAGAAAAACACCACTGACTTACAGGTTGTGCCTTTCTGCCTGCAGGAGCTGATGAAAATAGAACCCATCAGAATGTTTTCCCCATTTTGAGTATAATATTCTGCCTAATGTCCTACACTGCCATCTGACAGCCTTCCTACCTCTGCACAATAAATTAAGCAACTGCGTTTGGACTGACTTTTACATTTCCATGTACACAAAAAAAGTTGGCACACCTCCACCAGGATAATGTCTTGCACTACCAGGTAGAGAATACAATTGTTTTGCTTACTTTATCAATTCAGGGTGGAAAAATAATACGTTTGGAACCAGATCGGCAAAAAGCCTGGGATGTTTTAGAGTATGGCGACAGAGGCTCATACATCTTTCATAAAACTAGAATGTTGTTGGATTTCAGCCCAGCACGTTATGCTTTGATCTTGGGTGTGGTGAGTGGTCCGAGTCTGGGACCTAGAGCCATGAAGGGGTGGAGCCCCTCTCTCGCCGTCTTCTATGAGGACTATCCTTGTAGCCCCAGGCAGCTGAAGCAAGTGGTTATGGCTCATCTGCATGTCTGTGATTCACCTCTGTTGCAGCCAACAGTACTGTTAACATGTGAAAATGGTAAGAGGCAAACTTTTTCCTGCTTCAGTACAGATGCAAGACAAAAGGATCTACACTTAAGCACCAGTGCTGGCCTGGTCATACAGCTAGCAGCGTGACTGTAAAGACAGCACTGGAAACATGTCATAGCAAGAGGTAATATGACTTCAGCCGTGTTGGCATAAGCCAGGTTAGTTCTTTAAGGACGGGAGTGTTTGTGATAGCACCTCAGTTGGTGGGGTTTAATAGTTGCAATACCTTGCAAGGCTGTGGAAGGCTTATATATCTAGTAAAACTTGAGATTTTGCATTTGGTAAATTTAATCATTTAAAATCCATTACTCTAAGCCCATTAAAACATTTAGTTTTACTTCTCACTTGGTAATGTCACATTAGTGCCCCAGGGACATTTCCACACTTTTTAACCTTCAGACTGATTTGGACCTTACTACCATTTTATCCATGTACCAAAAACCCTTTTGAATGTATTTTAGCAATAGTAAATTTTCCTTAACATTGCTTAGTGCCAAAGCACAAGCATTAAGACCATATAAAATGAAACATGCTACATGATTTGCAGATTTCCTGGATGTCTCATAACACTCAAAAAATTATTCCACTATTGGTCTTGGTACCACATCCCCATTTTAGAACGAATTGACCTGGAGGATTTCAGCAGTGTATTTGACACTAACTAGTAAACCCACTACACCAGAAATGCTCACAATTATGGTTGCAGTCAACTTATTTTTAACTTTTTCCAACTGTATATATATATTTATCTCTCTCACAGATTTGTGAACCCCTTTCTTACAAACCTTTGTTCTGACACAGGATGAACAGCAAACTGCTACGCCCTTTTAACTGAATCATGCATCCAGTCTTCTACAGCTTTTCACCACGTACAGAAAAGATGAGTCGGGAAGCACCAGAATACATTTGCTAACAATTTTAATATTAATAGTTGATAACAGTAATGAGAAGAGTCGAGGAGAGCATGGCCACTCTGGTCTGTGAACGGATGGTGTCCAGGGCTGGTGTGCTGGAGCCATAGTGGAAGAGAGGGTGTCTTTGGTCCGTAGTTTTGGGGATGAGGGGGAGGAATGTAAGGATCTAGGGAGATGACAGAAGGCACTTCTATTTTTAGAGCTGTCTCAGATGCATAGAGAAGAGGGAAAAGGGTTCCGATTCCTAGCAGGCGTAGAGGAGGCCAGAGGCATGTACAGCAGGACACTTTCAGAACCTCCCGGGCGAGGGCATCCACACACACATCCGCAAGGCCAGTAGGAGAACGAGCTGCAGTTAGCCAATCCTGCATCGGTGGCCAATCATGCAGTTTTGAAATGCTCCCCCCAAAAAAACACATTTAGCTCCTACATGGTTTTAGCAATTTCAAGTGTAGTGAGTTTTATAGTGGGGGGGATGGGGAGATTGTTTTAACTTTCAGCCAAAAGGGATTTTACAAGTGATTTCCATTTCATCAAAACCTGTCTGTATTGAACAAAGCTGGGAAAACTCCTGCCATGAGCATGAATTGTGAAAATTGAAGGCGAAGTAGCAAGGATTCAAACTTGCCAGAGCAGCTCGCAGTCTCGACGTACACATTCTGCCACAGACGAGAGATCGGAGGCAGCGAGGGAAGAAGGATAAGGCTACTGGCCGCAGAGCCAAGAAAAGATGGAGGCAGTGAGGATGCAACTGTGCAAACATCTCTTGGAAGGCAAAGGCATCCTAAACACAAGCGCACAGGCTCAGCAGTACTTATTACCCTATTTTTCCATTATATATTGCTTAAGAATGAGGCCAGTTTGCTGATCACTGATCAATCCAGCTCAAAAACAGCACTCAGCTTGGCATCTAATTAAAAATGACACCTTGCACCTCAGAGAACAGGTCGAGCCCTTAAGAGCAGACAAAAAAAAAAATCTAACGTGAAGTCTGTGGTACAAATAAATGGAGTGGACTCCTGAATGTTAGGCTAAGAAGGGATGTACGATGACTAAGTTATTTCCTACTCCGACTTTTGTTAATCCTAACTAGTGCCAAGCCAAGAAGAATTCAGCCGTTACAGAATGTAAGAATGAGCAACAATGCAGAGAAACACTGACTGGCAAATAACCATATCTGCAAAACTAGCTTTAAGAATAACTGAATAGCAGATGCATGCACACAGATCCTTGCAACTGCCTTAAAGATGCACAGCTAAACTACCGCTGTGACACTACACACTAATTGTAGAATGATTCAACTGAAACTAACATTTCTAACATAAAATCTAACACTGCTGCTACATTCTAAAAAAGCTGAATATCTGCATTCAGTTGTTCAAGTTCAAAATAAAGATCACTGACCTCTACTAAACATAAGCTATTTCTGTGCAATTTCCCCATCATCTCCCCCCACCCCCCCAAATATTTGAGATGGCTCCACATCCAGTGTGACAGACGCTTTGCTCTTCAACCTTGTAACACCAGACTGTAACACAAATCGATAGCATTTTAAGCCAAGCAGCGTAAACAGGATAATCATGGTGAGGTAAAGTTCACCCTGTCCTGCAGAGGATCACTGCTTCAAAAGCATGCTCTACATAGTGTGGTATTATCTTCATTCACCTTTCCCACACTAGAACAGTCAGGCATTTCCAAAGAACAAAACCAATCTTCATCACAAACCCTGACTCCCATCAAGAACAGGGAACTTCAGTTTTGGGATTAGAACTGTTCTCGTCAAGTTGGCCTTTCGGCCAAATAAAGCAGTAGCTCACGGTCGGGCTTTCGGAGGCCATGGTGACCCCATCGCCTGCTTGTCGGGAAACCTGGCCCATGCATGCCTCTCCAACTGAAGAGCCGAACATCTTCCAAGAAGACTGCAGGGTGTACCTAAAGCCCATGGCGCTCAAACAGACATCTCTCCCGAGGGTGATCGCACACGCCCGTAAAAGGCAACAATTATTTTAGCTAAAGCTTGATGAGGCAAGGCAAACAGGAACGATGCAATGGCGAGTGCCTGCTCGTCTAGATGAACATTCCTGTGGAGGACATGGAGACTCCCAGCATAGACGCACTCCGACTGAGACCCCCTTCAATTCATTCAGGTGCTTTGCAAAGCTTCGACACAGGGGGTGAAACTCCAGTCCTGCAGGGCCGCAGGCAGCCCCCCCAAATTCCAGTGGCAATCCTGCACAAACAACCAGAGTCACTGAACGGCAGAGGTTAGGACTCAAAACACGCAAGCATGGTGGTTCTATAGGAAAAGAGTTTGAAAGCCCCGTGACGTAGAAAAGCAAAATAAATAAGGGAGGTAAAGGTTACCGACGCGCACTGCAGATACTAGCTTAGTGAGAGGCAAAAAATTCAACTTGGCCATCTAACTGGACTGATGGGAAAAAACTCCATCCCACTGGGTCATGTAGGGAGAGGAAGTGACAGACAAGGCAAAGCAAAGCTTGAGTAAAAATGTAAAACCTCCCCCCCCCATTAGGTGGCCTTTCAAATGTGCACCTATACAAACACTCACAGAGCTAAAGCCAGTCTGCAGTGAAGGATTCTAATGCTGGGTGACTTCATGCCAGTTCCCACCCAACGCCAGCAGGTGGGGGGAGGGCACCGGACCGCGTGAAGAGCAGCGACTGGCACAACCGTGACGGCTCTCCTGACAGGAGGGAGCAGGAGCAGCGGCAGAGGAGCAGGGAGAGGGAGGCGGGGCGGGAGGACCGAAGGCGACACTACAGCTCGGAGGATGTAAACTGGAGTTGTTCTGGAACTTGGTCAGGCGGAGGTGCTTTCCTCCAGTCCCGGGGAGAGGGGCGTGTCAGGGGCAGTGTGTCCGGGGGGGGCGCTGGGGCAGGCCGTTGGGGGTGGGCCGGTCCTGGTGAGGGGGCAGGGACTGGGCGGAGCCGTTGGTGGAGGGCAGGGAGGAAGAGGAGGTGGGAGGGGCAGCCCCTTGGCCTCGGTTGCCGGGGTAACGATGGCTGGTCCGGTTGGGGTTGCGGTCTGGGTGGGAGGCACTGTTGGACTGCTGCTGTCCTCCAGGCTGGTAGCCATGGCCTGGCCTGCGATTGCCTTGATAGCCCTGTGGGAAAAGGAGAATCCTTGTTATGGACCAGCACAGCTGGAAGGTTCCATTAAATCTCATCTTTTCATGAAGCTGCAAAAGGGACTGAAAAGTTCCTTTCAACCAAGGGCAATGCTTCAGATACAAGCAGAGACAGAGGCAGCTTTTCACACAGAAGAGCTGCAATTGTGTGGCAGAATGCAGATCTCAACTAGGATAATTTGAGATCTGCCAACGAATAAATACAATGTCACTTCTTGTCCCACCCTTGAGATACCTGCAGATAGAGAAAGATGGGAATGGAATTTTACTACATTTCTCAAATTGTGGGTGGCCAGTAAGACTACCTTCCAAAAAATCTGAATCTTGATCTCCTCCATCCCAGAGGGACCACAGCTCAGGGTTGAGGGAGGGAGAGCAGACTCCAAATTTCCACCTGCAGTCTACTTTCCGACTTCTCTGTCCCAGCACAAACTCCTTTCTTCTTCTTGGGGAAACTCAGTCGGAGCAGGGAAATGACAGCCCAGCGCCGAAACAATCGATCCTCTGACTACAGGCTGCCACCTGATCCTTTTCCCTTTGAGGCCAAGGGCCGGGCTCGGTCGACAGGCTGAAGGCTCGGCCGTGCCCACATTCAACTCGGAGAGCAGGGGGTGTCGGTGCGGAAGATCAGCCGGGTCAGCGCTCTCACCTGTCTGTGGGCCGGAGCGGGGCGAGCCCCGGTCTCTCGGGGGCCGTACCCCGAAGCCTGGGGGAGGGGCGGGGGCGGTCCCTCGGGGGTCCCAGGGCCAGTGAGCGAGGAGGAGGCTGAGCTGCAGCGGGAGCGGCTGGAGTACCCCGTCTGAGGATGGTACACTGCAGACAGACGGCAGAGGGGGAAGACTTTCACCGACGCACTCGGCGGCCAGACAGGTCAACAATGAGGACCTATTGCTTTAAACAAATGCTCTGGTTCTTCTGTGCATAAAAAGGTCTTCCAAGCTAATATCCCGGCTTCTCAAAGGAACCGTCTGGATGTGATTAACTCCTCAACTGGCTAGGAAAGGTTGTGTGGCGTTCTCTTGTCTGCAATCATACCTCATGTAAAAGCAGTGTATTGTTACAGCTACAAACTATTTTAATAGGACACCAAGTCTGCAAGATAGACAAATTACATCTCTGTCTAGTCATATATGCTGCAGTGAGGGCCCTGGGTAACCAGGTTTCCAGATAAAGAACAGAAATTGAGAGGAAACAGATGTAATTAAGAAAATACAAGTGGCGTTTCTGAAGGAGAGAACCACTGACTGGGCTGTCCCAGATCAACTCTGGCTCCAGCCATGGTGTGGCATCACACAGGAGCCTCATGCATTTCGATACCACTTTAGCTCCTCCCCCAAGGTATCTGCCCCAAAAAGTAATTCCAAAAGAAGGGAGAAGATTGGGAGAAAAGGCGACAAGAACCCCAAGAGCCCAGCCTGCAGGGGGCGTACCTGATCCGAAGGACATGATGTTCTTCTTGGCCGGCTCCAGCTCGTAGGTGAACTTCAACGCGCGGCCCAGGTCTTCATCGTACTTGCGCTCGCTCACAAAGTGCTGCGGGGGAAAGGGTTGGGGTGGCGTTATCTCCAGTGACAGCTCTGGATTTCCAGACTCCAATTTCTGCCTTCACCTCCTGCTCTAATCTCTTAGCAAGCTTGTCTCTCGTCACAAGGCCTGTTCTTGTACACTGGAGGCTGGAGCAGTGCCCATCTAAGGTATCTGTAGCTCTCTGCGTTTGCTCAGAATCACATCTTGCTGGATCTCACACCGAAGACCATCCTCGAGTCTGCGTCCCTCCAACACTTATCAGAGCAGGTAGTCTTGTACGTACACCTCCACCACGGAGAGCAGAATCCGCAAAAGATCAACGAAACCTATTTTCAATCTCACTCTCTTTTATGCCACCAAGCTCTCTGCAAAAGCAAACGATTGCCGGAAGATCTGCAGAATTGGGAAAGGGGTGGAATGTCCACACTCACTCTCACACACTGTTGCCAACCTGCCCAGGGGCAGAGGGCATGCAGCCACACTCACCTTGATGTCGGCACGCAGCTCGCTCAGCTGCTCCTCGGACATGGAGCCCGCCTGGTCCGTCAGCCGCCTCAGCATCTCGGCTTTCTTCTGCCTGCCATCCAGGATCGCCACTGCAACACAGAGCGCCCCCCCGTCAGGAAAATCACCGCACTCCCACTGCAGGGACCACCAGGGCGACTCCTGGACCAAAACGCAGCTCGATCTTGAACAGAGATTCTCCAAGGGTTTCCAATCCTGATGGCACTGGAAGTCAGCCCAGAACTGCGTCAAGGACCGCAGTGGAGAGCAGCTGCGTGCAGGAAGTTAAGTCCTCACATTGAGGGCTGTGCATAGTGGGAACAAACTGACCAGCCAGGCAAGAAGCAGCTTAATGAGCTTACTCCATAAATAACTAACCTTCTCACTAGATGTGGAAACCTTGTGCATCAACAGATGTTAAAGAATTAAAGCAAATGATGTCCAAACATGCACAACATCTCTAAACTGCAAACTACTACAGATCAAATAATGATGAAAGCATTTACATCACTGGAATGGTAAATCAGAGTAAGAGCTTGAGACTTTCAAGCAGGACGAAAAAACAATTCTGCTTAATGCTTTGCTCTCCGAGATGATGGCATTTCTTTAAAGCTAAAGTTCAGAAAAGAGCACCGAGGTGGGTGAGGGGCATTTAAAAATCGGGAAGACATTCTAATCTACCAGTTGAGTAAATGAATGACCCACACTGGAGCAGTTAGAAGAAATGAACGCAGACTAAAGCCGAAATCATTCCAGGTCAGGACAAAGCAGCATGTCTAAGGAAATAAAGAGATTTCTCATCCAGACGGAGAGGGGGAGGGTAGGTGTGCCCGGCCTGGCCAGAGGAATGCTTGGCTCTTGACTCTCGGGGAATAGTGTGCTGCCTCTGTGCACAAAGAGCTCATTCACAGCCCTGACACCTGAGACAAGCACCATCCTCTCGGACACACCCGCCACAGAACAGGCCAGGCACCAGGGAGAAACCCAGAGCACAACAGCAGCACTTCATTCATCCCAGGATAATCTATTTGGAACAAAGATTTTCCCCAAGGTCTTGTGCATCCATATAAAACGAGGCCTATTCTCCAAGGTCAGCAGGCTGGCTTCCAGTAAGAGCCGTTTTCGTAACTATTCTGCCCGTTTTAGGTCATGTCTGAAATCAAGGACAACAGAACAGCTTGGACACAGCGCAGAAGACAGAACGACCCTCAGCCAGCATTGATGAAAGCAGACCACACTTCAGAACCCGTGTTCATCAGACCTGCAAAGGCGTTTGCTAGACTGACGTATTCCACGGATGTCTGAAGTGGCATAGTCTCTCAGCCACACGAGAGATTTCGGCAGAGGAGGGTCATATATCATGTGTATAACACAGTGAGGAAACTAAGAGAACTTCGGCATTTCTTGGGCTGAAATCTAGTTCTCTGAATCAAAATGTAACTCTGCACCGCAGTTAAGGGAAAGCCAGAGGCTGAATTTAAGTGTTTAGATAAAAGTTTATAAGGTCAAAAGGGTTTTAAGACATTTCTGAAGTGGTGCATTTTAGTTTAAGGAGATATCCTGTAAAATTACTACGTGGGCTAACATCTCCGAAACAATCACAGATGCAACTAAACCTTGACTAATCAAACGCTCCTCCAACCGCAAATGTCAGGGGAAAGAATGAGCAAGAAGAAATCGTTGTTCTTGAGCTGAAAAAGCCCAGGCTTGTGGTGGACTTCAAGCGTGCAGCAGAACTAGGAGAGGGGGCGCAGTGTGGAGACGCTCAGCTGGGACAGTGTCACAGAACGGTTCATACTCACTGGCTTCTGCTTTGACCTTGTCCATTTCTGCCAACAGGGCCACCTCCCGGTCCATCAGGCTGCAGGGTGCAGAGGAGACGCTGTTAGACCTCAGAGACCCACCACGCGACGTGGAGCAGCAACGTATCGTTTCAAACAGCAGGAATGCCCACTGGGACACTGGCATTATCTCAAGCTAGAGACTGGACTCTGAAAGTCACACGGCTTTAAATCCGACCCTCAGAGTGCAGGTTGGACTCTGTTGTCCACAGGTGCCCTTGGGCTGGCAATTGGAAGGCATGCCCAGGGACCTCCCTGGCATGCAGTGTGAGTGTGCCCAAGTGGCCAGCAGGTCTGCCGTTTGCACTGTGGACTCGCAATGTGAAGAGATGCGGAACACGACAGCGCAGTCAACAGCTCCCACATGCTTGTGGAAGGGTGCCGAGGGTGAGCAGAATTAGCAACTCTTAAATCAGTAGGGAATATTTAAACATGGCAGATGAATTAAACAGTATGAAGAATGGAGATTTCAGGACTTAATTGCTTCCGATTTAGTCCCCATTACAAATAAGGGACACTGAAGACCGATTTTAGGAGGGTCAGGATTTACTTGGCTCACAATAGGAGAGGAATCAACACAGACATTTTAATTCCATCGGTACATGCTCGTTTCCCCAAGGCAATAAAAACAGGAAGGATTTCCTTTAACTCCAGTTAAAGGAAATTGGATCAATCAAGTGATTAAAAACCTGAGCCAAATAAAATCCTCACAAGATCCTGCTGGCCTGCTCGATGAGTCACAGGGGCCTACCAACAAGAGAGCCTTTAAAAACCGTGCTCTGTGGCAGTACAGGGGCTGGCACGGCACACTGACCAGCTCTGGAGCTCTGCGAAGGTCTGCTTCATTTTCTTGATAGAGGAGTCCATCTCCTCCTTGACCACCACTCTGTATCGTGTGAGTGAGGCTGTGCAGCGCTGCAGGTCCTTGACAGACTTGTCTATGTTGGACGCTGAGGGACACGGGAGAAAACGCATGGATTAGCGGCAGGGAATCCTGTCTCCTTATTGCTAATTAACAGCCAATAAAAGCACAGTATCTAAAGCAGGGACAGAACACCAGTCCTGTGTTTTCATTTAGGATTCTGGCAAAAGCGAACCTTTTGATTACTTCAGCTTTCATCGTTTTTCAGAATTTTGATTCTCATCAGGCCTGATGAGAGGGACCAGGTACGTTCTGGGGATTACAATCGAAAGCTAAAAGGAGCTGATCTTGAATCTAGGAGCTCAGGGCATCTGAATCAGGAGAAAGATGAAGAGCAGGTGTGTGCTCTCCTGTGCACAGAGGATTGTAGGTCCAGGACCAAGCCCTCACCCATGGCCTCCATCGCTCCGAGAGCTACAGGCGAGCACTGGAGCTAGATTAGCCCAACACTCTCAGTCAGCTGCTCAGAACATAATGACATGGAAGAGACAGTATTTCACTGCTCCATCAAGCCAGCAGGAGCATTGGTATGGCTGGGCACAGGACTTGACCATATCCAGAAACACACCCCGAGTTTCTTAGGGAAGGGATCTTTTCCCAGGTTAATTATTCCCCTACGTTTCTCATTGCTTTATTGGGGTGGGCAGGGAATTACCATATAGTCACTCATTTATGGCATAATCCTCCCGTGCTAGAGAAAGCTGAAGGGGGGAGGAGGAGGGAGAACAGGACTCAAAACTTTCCCCGACTTTGAATTCATTTGCTTATTCCATTTGTTTACTTTTTCTCTTTGGACTGTGGCACGCCACAATAAACACTGACTCATGATACATCCAGTGGCTCCGAGAACTTGCTCAACGCAAACCGAGGTACCGAGAGACAAAGCTACTCGGTGTTAATGAAGCAGTTTATATACCGTACACCTTTCACTTCCTGTTAGCGGACGCCACTGCTTTTCTGCTTCTCTTGCCGAAAGCAGGCCGACCAGCAGCCTGCAGGGGACTGGTGCTGAACGCCGCGTGACCTGTGGCAGGCCTTGACGCTCAGGAAGGAGGAGCGGAGATATCCGTTAAGCTCAGAACTAAAAGTGACCCATGTGGGCAGGGCAGTTCAGCTCTCCTCATTGCTTCCTCCTGCCTGATCCTCCTGGCGCCTCGCACTCTGAGCCAGTAACAGAAGACACACCGACCAATTCAGCGAATGCAGCCTGGGCCAGTCTGACTCGTGCAGTTTCCGCTGCGCTGCGCTGGCAGTTTCCTCGCTACCCGTGACGTGGCCTGGATCCCGCGGCCATGGAGAAGCAGCTGTCGGAAAGATGGGCCAGCAGGCGGCGGCTCACTTACCGATCCGCTTGCTGGTGGCCGAGGGGTGCTGGCCGTCCTCCGGCAGCGCCAGCGAGAGTGCCGACGACGGCTGGGAGCCGGGCCGGGACCGGGGCTTGCCAGCCGGGCCTCTGGGGAGATGGTGCGCCCGGGGCACGTGGGCATCGGCTCTGGCCTTGCCATCATCCACTTCCGTCCCTGCGGGAGAGCCGTTCAGTCCTGGTGAGGCACAGAAAGGGCTCACCTGATCTCGCAACGACCCAGGGGTAAGAGGAGATAAAAGCTCACGGGGAGCCCCTCGCCCCTATCCGTGACCCTGTAGGAGCCGTGAAAAACGGGGAGCTAGATGCTCGGTCAATCGGCAGAACTGCAGAGCCAGAAACTGGGTACAGCAGTCGTGTTGGAGAGAGAAGTACAGGAAGGAAGTGGGGGCGAGCCAGCGTGACAGTCCTGCAGATACCCAGACAAGGAGGACTCGCTGCTTGCTCTGCTGCTTTGGAGAAGGAGTCCAGGTTTAGAGTTGTGTTCTAATTGCTAATTCATTATTACAGGGCTTTTATGGCAATTTGTAACTGCCTGGCTTTTGTTTCTGAACCCCCAACAGGCCTTTTCCAGCAATCTCCCACTGAAGGCGTACATGCAGTAACGTTCAGTACTGCAAACAGTGAA